TCTTTGGTGCTTTTAATAAAGGCATTTAATGTCAGTTTTTCTCACAGTTAAACTAAATTAATAATAATAATAATAAACGCCGAAAACAAGATGATAAAACGTCTGCACGCCACACAACATTCATGTACATACATATATAACACAATCAAAGCTGCGCTTTTTAGTTTTAAATTGGTTTTTATGGACCCCAGCTTCGTCCCCCTATTCAACTCGCAGCGCTTAGTCTGTTACAGTTTCACTATTTTCTATGTCATTTTTTGGCTTCTTTTCTATGCATAGTTGCTTGAAGTTATTAGTATAGCAAGGCCTCTGAGTGCTCTGGCTTGTCAAGTTGTTAATTATGGTCTTTAAGTGGCCTTTCTTGAACGCGTTTAACCCGCAGCGCCCGCAGCTAACGTTCAATGGTCACACAACGCTTTGACCGGAGCAGCGAATGCCCCTGATTTGCTCTTCTCACAATTATCCGCTTTGTTTTTTTTTTTTTTGTTATTAAAACTTACTTTCACTGACATTTAGCGACTTTATTAGTAAATTTTCGGATGATTCATTTGTTAAAATGTGTTTGAGGGATGGAGTAAGAAAAACTCACTGAGCTTATATATGTATGTAAATAATAAACTACACTTAGCACAAACTACCTTAGAAAATAGTTCTTTAGTAAGAAGATATGTATGTATCAATAGTGTAGGGTTTTTCTGCAATAAGACAATCTTCCTAATCTAAAATAAAAAAAAAACAATGGATTCATATCATTAATGAATATACTTCTATATTGGCAGTAGGCTAACTTCTCAATGTGTAAGCATTCCGAAATCAAAGCGAGACAGTCTAGTACCGTTTTCGTGTATGTGTTGTGTACATTTTTTTTTTAACGTACGTGTTCCTTTTCTTTCGTACGTGATATATCTGTACTGTAATATTTTCGGACGCTACTAGCTCTTACTGCCAATATAGGAGTATTACATAGGTATATGGATATAAGAACATTTATCTTTAGTCCACTACTGCATTTTTAAAGTGAAAATATTTAATTCTGAATTTCTTTAGCTTCTTAAATGGAGGAGTTATATTATAAGACCTCATATCTGAACAATGAGATGTACTTATATTTAGAATTTCCGTATAACAAGGAATTATAAACTGACAGAAATCTACTTTTAATTAAAAGTCAAGTTGGGTCAAAAAAATTCCAAAAATATTTCCTGCTCTACTTACAAAAATTGGGTACCATTGAGAAGTTAATGAATCAAGCTTTATCTATTTAAAAGCCTAAATACAAAAGTTTGTCTCGGTCGAGATCAAATGCAAATGAAGTGCTCAAAGAAAATAAATTAGTAGGCCTGAAAAAAAAATGTCATCAAAACCAGCACTTTCCAGCAGCTAAAGTTGTGCTGTTTAAAGTCCAAGAGGAGTGGCAAGCAAACTGAGATACAAACTTTATCGAATAAATAATCGCGGATAACAAGTTTGCGGTTCTAATGAAAATAATAAATTTTTTTTTTTTAGATTGGCCGAGCTTCTCCTCCGACTTGTGGCGTGCGCCTTGATGTTGTCACACAAAGCGAAGGGACCTACTGTTTTACGCCGACTCCGAACGGCGATTGTATTTTTATGAGAAGCTGTTTTTCATGGCAGAAATACACCAGGAGTTCTGCCCTTACCTGCCTGTTAAGAAAACACTTTTTTCTAAATTTTTTTGCGATGTTGCTTTGACCAGGGCTTGAACCCAGGTGCTGCGGAGTGGAAGCGCGCACTGCTTACCACTACACCATAGCGGCCGAAATTAATAAATTGCTAAAATTAAATTTAAGTTAACATCGTTTTACTTTAACATGAAATGCTCAGTCCTAGTTTACTAAAATCCCAAAAATGTATGTATGTTCATTAAAAAGAATATATCTAAAAAAATACGACCAGAATGGTATTTTAGCGGTTGTGGCATAAATAACATAACACCAACAACTTAAACATTTAGATTCAGTTTCAAATATGTATACAAGTTTAAATATTATTGCGCTTGGTAATCTGCCAAATCAAATCCCGTCCCGCCCTTTACTTTGATTAAATGTTGTTGTTGTTGTTATTTCGTTTTTATCAGGCTTTTCTAAAAACATTTTTGACGTTATTTTGAAATTTACCGATATGAAATAATTTATATAACATCTTCTAGAATATGGAAATAATACACTGTGCTTCGAAAGCCTGAAAAGATCGAAATTTTTTCTGCCTCGAAAAAGAACTGTACAAAATTTTATGAAAGGCGAAAACTTTCGAGCTAAACTAGTCGAAAAGTATTTCATAAATTTTAGGTTCAATTAATTCAGAGAATTTACATTTTTCATTTTTTTTTGTGGCATTTTGCCGCACTTTTGTTGCGCTTTTATATTTACTTCTGGGTGCCGGATCAGGGGGAGATGGAACGCATTAGCGACATGCAAAACCTCCAAGATCATGTGCAATAGCAGCAAAGGAAACACCCATTTCTTGCTTACACGGTCACGTAGGGAGTGCAGGACAGTTGTCGGCCTAATGACGGGCCACAACCTACTGGCATCCCACGCAAGCAGAATGGGCATTAGTAACAGTGACGCATGCAGGAAGTGCAGGGAGGAAGGCATGAGTGAGACGTTAGAACACCTCCTCTGTTTCTGTCCGGCCTTAGCTAGAAATCGTCTTAGTTATCTCGGAGCTTCGCAGTTTAAAGGACTAGAGGAGGTTTCAAAACTGGATATTAAGGCACTCTTGAACTTCGCAAAAAGCGTTGACGTCCTATACGACGACTACTTTAGACCGCAGTAAAACGGACCTCCATCTGGCACTACAAAGGACCAACGGGTCTATGTAAGGCGCAACAGCCGGCCAGTGTAACCTAACCTATATTTACTTCAGCTGATACAATGTTTTTACCATATATTTAATACTTCTATATTGGCAGTAACCTATCTGCGCAATGTGTTTGGATTCAGCAATCAAAGGGAGATAGATTTGAGACAAATGTACGTTTTGCGCATGCGCAAGTTTTCCATGTATTAGTATCTGTGAATATATGTGACAAATACATTCAAGCAAATTTGACGTATCATCAGTAGCGTTAGAAAATAAATTTGAAGGGGATCGTTTTACTGTGGGGTGGTTATGCCCCTTTGTTGACGATGTTTACTTATGCAAACTGAAACTTTATGATGAAGTATTAAGATTTTATTTTAAAGCTACCTGGAAATAAAAAAAGGATTTGAAATTTTTTTTAATGATTAGCAATTTATTATTTTAGAATGTATAATTCAAACATATGCATACTTCCATTCTCTCACCGAGTACAAATTTACTGACTATTTAGGTAAAAAGGAATAAATAAGTATAGTGACTCACACTTAAAATTGTGTAAATCTTTATATAATATTCCCCATTGTTTTTCATTTAAAATTTTTTCGCTTATGTTTTTTTATAAAAGTGAGGTCATTATTTCAAACTTTGTGCAAAAATTAAAGGGCATCAGGCCGCATGCCTGCATCCATTGTTTGCAAACGGTTACGTCTTTTGGAAATCTGTATAAAACAAAGCTGTTAAAGATGTTTTTGATAGAAACTTTTGCAACGCACCCATGTAAAGCTATATTATTTAATTTATCTCTTCTTTTTTCACATAAAAAGCAGCTGTGCGACATTTTTGCAGTTTAACTTATTGAAAAATTCTTAAACTTTAATGAAAACACAAAATTTTCTGTAATTTTTTTTAACGTTCCGACTCTGCGATTTATTTTGAATTCAAGTGTCATTTCTTAAATGCGATTACTCGGTTTTCTTTTTCTTTTTTTATATATCTGTACTGTAATGTTTGCTGACTGCACTTGTAGATACTGCCAATATAGAAGTATTACATATATGGTTTTTACATACAAAGAAACTCCGACTAAGCTTCCAAACTTCTGAATTTCACCATTGTTTACGAGGCTTCAAAAAGGTGGATTCCCAAAAACAGCTGGGAAAACTTTCGAGGCTCCTTTAGGCTCATTTAGGCGCTAGATGAGGGGTGACATTAAGAGCCAGCATGAACGGGGTAGACGAGTGTAATATAACTTCGTGTACTCCGACTCTCATTACTAATACATAAAATGTATGTGTAAAAATTTACCCATCCCTGCCCTAGATAACAATTCTGCTTCATAAAAGGTATACAAAAAGTGTATCTATGGATCTTGCACTAATCAGGCTACGAAACTCAGACTGTTTTCTTATCTTTTTTTAATCCTCAAAATTTTTTATAAAAAAGCGGTTGTCTGGTAACTATTCATTGAGACGATCTTTTAAATGTTAAAAGCCATATTTTTTTCTGAGCAAAAATTTCAATTGTATTTGTTTTTTGGTAAGACATGAAATATTTGGCCAACATTTTTTAAAGTTGCGTTTTTCTTAGATCTATCTACATATTTATGTGCAAGTTCCATTTAAAACTTTTTCACGCATAAGCGGAACCACCAGGCAAGAATTTCTCAATTGGGATTTGAAGATTTATGGCGTCTTCTTTTCTCGAAAAAAATGTCACCTTCTTTTAGGGCAACATTATCAGAGTGCAATATTTTAAAGAAAGGGCAGGCAAACTTCGCTGCCCCGACGTAGGGCAGAATAAATGCCACATTATTTCTAGAAAAGAAAACGCTAATAGAAAATCATTTTCTAATTGAAGAACCTAAGCAAGTATATGTACGTACTCAGAAATAAAACAAGAATTTCATACTTAGACACAAATCAAAAATTTTGGGCGCAAAAGTATTGTAACTAAAAAAATTCTTAGGCATACGGTACCTACATATATTAACCGCTTATTTCAAGATTTTTTTCTAGAACGCAAATTTAAGTTTGATATTGTTGATATTTAACATTTGTACATAATTTAAATGCGGTGTATGTGCGCACATATGTATATACATACATATGTATGAATGTAGTACCACCGCAAATCATAAATGCCGACGGCTTGCAAATGACGTCCATATGACTTACCTTTTGGAAAAACGAAATTATGCGTTTTGAAAATTCTTGTCGAATCAGCTTCTTAGTTAACTGTCCCTGGTGAATTTTAAATTTAACACTGCGATAAGTAGTATTTCGATGAGTTCCAATATTTAGTTCAAAATACAAATTCGAAAACCTCAGCTTCGGGTAAATGGAAATTGTTTGTGTTCTCGCTATTTTTTTTTTCTATTTTTTCGTTGCGTCAAAAGAGTTATGTGATATAATTTAGCTTTATTTACATAATAAAAATTTTCAGGCTCTCACTTATTGCGTGACTAGGTACATATTCACTAGTTTTATTGCAATGCACACAACTTTTTTCTTAATTATGTTATCACTCTCAGTACTTTTTTTGTTTTTAGTAGTTGGACACTGTGGCATGCGTTTTATGTTCGTTTGCTTTTTTTTTCATTCGCCAATCAGCGTACAAATTCTAGTTCTTATCCAACTTGTACCCGTCGAACTTCTTATTCTACTTTTCCACTTCACTCCTGCACATAGTATGTCCACTTCCTACAAAGTCGTGGGTGACACTGACTGACTGTGGCACTTTTTGTCGCTGTGAGAATTCAACTTCTGCTGTGTACTGTCGCCGCTTCTACAACGACAACTTCTTGCTTGCAGCGGCGACTCACACCAGCTCAATCAAGCACCACCATCGGCGGCAATGACACTATCAACTACCAACACCGAAGCAAACCACACACGCACAGCTGTGCTGCCACAGGCAACACCAAAATGCGCGCTCTTAGCTGGGGCGTAATGTTCTTGACTGCCAGTGCTCTGCTCTGGCGTCGCTGCTTGGGGACACTTTGCTGCTTCACTCTCTGCGACCACACTATGTATGTATGTATGTATGTATGTTTGTACGTAATCGAAGTGACGAGGATAAGGACAACTGCGTCTATCGCTGGTTGGGCTGGCAACAGCAGACACACACGCACAACACGACAAATTCAGCCCAACTGTCCGTGGGTACGTCTGTCGCATCGCAGTCATCCGAATCAGGCCCAGCGAAGCAAGCAGCGCAGCGTTACGAGAGCGCACAGCACGTATTTTGTTGGGAGCGACTTGGGTATCTTTAAGAATGACAAAAGAGACTGCCACATGCACATACTCGTCGTAGCACATTTGTATCTATCTGTCAGATTGTTTTCGTCTAAATTTAATGCACTGCACTGTCGTATGTACATGCGAGTTTTTGCGTGCTCAGTGACACTCGGCCGGCCACTTTGACTTTTGTTTTGTTGTTTTTCACATTTGTTTGATTGCGTATTATTATAATCACCGTCCGCTATGAAACTGGTCGGCGGAGCCTTGGGTGCTCGCTCACCTTGCGACGAAGCACAGCACGTGGTGGAAGTCGAGACCATGTCTGCCAGAGAAGAACGTCATGGTCTGGCAGTGGTAAGCTACTCAATTCAGAGCACACAATGCGATCAATGCCGCAAACTGTTTCGCTTCAACCACCACACGCATTATGGCGCATTCACTCACTCCTATGGCCATAAAATACTGAGTGGCTTTATTGAAAGAGCAAATGGAAAGGCGCAAACAAGCACAAATGTATGTATGTATTGTATGTACGTACATGCATACATACATACACATGTGTGTAGATGCGAAAATGTGACCGATTGAAAATAAAAAATGTCGATAAAGCAGTTTTCGATTCAATATTGTTCAAAAAGAGTCTCTTTCGATTAAAAATTTCCACACACATATCCACATACATACATGCTTATAGATATACATATGTATGTAGATATGTATGTAAATAGGAGCCAATGTAGGTAACCGTAAATACCCATAAGCGAGTAGATACTACATAGATATTTTCTACAATCAAAGAATAAATATTTGGTTTGATGACAGTAAGAAATCCTTGAATTACTGCCAGAGAAAAAGCGCTGCAGGAGTTCATAAGCTGATAGCGGCAGAGATTTAATGGCTCTCTTATTACTCTGCAAAAAAAACAAAGCTGCTGTTTACATATTCCTGTATCTTATTTCCTAAGTTCGCATGCTTGCAAACATTAACTTTTATTTTCCTGTATTTAACACATTGTATGTATGTATGTATGGGCATACATATTTTAATGTCATACACACACACGCATACATAGATTTGTAAATAATATATTCATGCAAAAATACCTCCTCATGTATGTATGTTGATATGTATTTACATATATACATATGTATGTATGTCCGGGAATTAAGAAAATGTGTCCACTAAAGTCATTGCACACTCTGCTCGACGAAAGCCATTTTCGTTTTAACTTTCCTATTTGTTTACGTTGTGTCCTATGTTTATGTGCGCTTATGTGTGTGTAACCATACTATATGTAGTATTGCTACGTCGTATGTACATATATGTATGCAGCTTTGTGGGACGACCAAATTTCCAGCGACGCACTAGCTTATCTGGCCAGTCCAAATAAGTACGTGTGTATGTATGTATGTATGCACAAGTCATTTACCAACCAGCCCCGCCGCCAGCCAACAACAACAGCACCGGCATCAGCAGTAGTGTCCACATACGCAACCGCTATCTTTCTGCCCCTCTTTCACATATGCTCCAACAGCAGCGCCTACCATCGCACCTTCTCGTTCGCACAGTGTCGCACGTTTCCGCACTGGACCATATTCGGTTGACATGCGACGCTGGTGACCGTCGCATTGTACCATTAGTGTTGTTGCTGCTTTACTATTGCTACAGGCTCCCAGCCCCCACCCGAAATGGGACAAACACATAAACATTCACTCGCGTTTTGTTGCTCTACGCTTGCTCTCAAGCAGCTCATTCGTTCGGAATACGTATAGTTCGTAGGAGAACGACTCTCTTCTTCAGTTGTGTCCATTAGGTTTTTCTTCTTGTTATTGTTGCTGTAGGTATGTACTTTTATTGAGCAGCATAGAGTGTCCACCATTTACGCCTTTGCGTGTGACAGAGGTGAAGCGAGTTGACTTGCACGTTTTCACATTCGTACGAATGAAACGTCGGTTCCCATCCATTCTCCTCACACTACGACGTCGCCGTCAACGTCGCTGCTGCCAACCACTGAGTTGCTGTTGTGAATTTCGCTCTCTGTGACATACGGCAATTCATGGTAAGACGTCGGGTTGCTGCCTCAGTTGACGCCGTTGTAAGTGTATTGTGGCTGTTATTGTCGCTTGCTGAATGGTTTTATTTGGCTCGACTTGTTTTTTGTCTTCTTCGCTGGTTGTTGTTGTTGCTGCTGGTTAGTACAGTGTTGTATGTATGCCTTCGTTACCTTTTGCTTTTGGCTTTGGCTTTGCCTTTGCCATTGCCATAGATGTTTTCGTTTTCGTTGTCGTTGGCGTTGAGTTGTTGTTTTTGTTTCTTTGCTCGAACTTCGTAAACACATAGGGTTATTGTTGTTGGTGGTGATTTTTTCCTCTCGTTTAAATTTTGTCATTTGTTGTGTCTCCTTGGTTCGAATGTCTCTTTCACTCGAAGGCATATTCGAATGGCTGCCACTCGCTACTTCTCCCTCTGCCGCAAGTAAGCCTTGGCTTTTGCTTTGATTTCAGGCGACATTTTAATATGGGGGCGAGCACCAATGCACCAATGACATTGCAGATCTGGTGACAAAGGCATTATTGCTATTCGTGACCGACCGTTGTTGGTAAGAGAACGGTGGCAATGCTTAACGCGGGAGGGTAGTTAGGTTCTTAGTCCATTTACAATGGATTGCGTTATGTATTTACATACCAACTTAGTTGAACGCATCATTTGAACATTTGTATAAATACATACATACATACATAGATACATATGTACATACACTTGTAAGCACATGCTCCCAGTCGGACCGTGCAGACCGTGGTTCCGAAAAGAATGCCTCTTTAAGTACTAAATTCTTCATGCGATATTTGAAGTTCATTTAATTTCTGTATGAAAAGTTAGTAAATATCTGCACGGAAAAGTAGTCGCATCCTATTTTCACTTTAATGGAAGGCTTAGAATCTGTAGGTCATGGAAACTTCACTGCTAAAAATAGCATTTTTTGACGCCTTGACTTCGGCAAATAAGTCCGAATGAGAAAAAAAACTCTACAGAGCTCTCCAATCCAACAACAACCACCTCATGCACAATTGCCTTCTTAAAGAACCGTTCTTGCTGTGTTTTACGCCTTTATAAACACGAATTAAAGACTTTATGTTTTTTGAACTATGTACATACATACTTCTGAGTGGAAAAAGAACCGTGCTTGAGTACATTTTGGAAGCAATCTAGTTCGACTGGGCATTTGTATATGTGCGTGTGTGTGTGTGTGTTTATATGTAGATGTATGTATATGTAATACATACTACATGCGTTGAATTGGGAGGGATTAATACGGGACGTTGCTCACAAATGCCCTGGATACAAAGTGTATTCGCATACAATTTAGATTCTATTGGTAAAGCTGGAGCTCGAAACTTAAATTGAAGGCGCTTTATTAATTTGATTTTCATACACATACATACATACATACATACATATGTGTACATACCATACAAATCAATACTTCTGTGAAAAAATTGTATGCTCTTTTTAACTATTTCAGTGAGTTTTACCATTTACTTCAGAACTTTTATCATGAAATAATTTTTTATAGTATCTACACAACAAGTACATTGAAATTATTAAAATTAAATTAAGAAATTGAAAAATTATTTTAATGCCACTGACACAGCGCCATATAGGTATCGAGCCTTAACCGCCAAAAAACGTAAGCGACCATTTTTCAAAATTTTCTTATTGATGCAGAATGCCGTCTAGATGCTCTCCGGGCATTTCTGCATCAAATGAAAATTTTTGAAATATATGTCGCTTACGTTTTTTTTTTTGCACTTAGGGCTCGATATGGTGTAATCAGCAAAGGCGCTGAAAGTCTTTTACCCTAAGTTACTGCACGTTACCTACTTGTTTGGCACGCAATGCATCGAGAGGCCGAAGTTCCTTGTGTAAATTATAAACTTGTAATAAAATATGAAAAGTAAATAAAAAAAATAAGAAAACAAAATAAGTCTTTTTGCATATTTTGTTTGTTGTTAGTGGATATTTTTGATTTTTTAGTGCATAAAAATCCGGGCCCTAATCATAACATATTTATGTACATATTTTCATATCTGTGTTCGTATGGAATTATGTCGAAAGGCTGGCTTTAGTATAATGCGGCATGCGCAGCACAGAGTTGCGAACAACTCACTGGCGGCGAGCCGTTGAAAAACTTTTGGTAAATAAATGTGCAAGTATTCCTATTAAGTCCTATCAGAAAATTCGTTGTCATTTAAAGAATAAAGGGAATGCCGCATTATACTAAAGCCAGCTTCCCAACATAAGCTACTATTCCATACGAAGCCAGATATATATCTACTTTACGTACGTGTTTTTAAAACCACTTAAATGAATCGATCTTCCTCATCCATACTATGCTAAGTTTGACTAAGTCTAAGGTGACTTAGCATGGTATGGTTTGGAGGTGTCGATATGACTTTGGAACCAGATAAAAATAAAATAAAGCAACAGAGCCGCAAACTTTGTTTCAGGAAAATATTGTTCAGTATCCTCACTAACATATGTATAAACAAAAGCAACCCAGTAGAACTTAGGAGCATCGTACGATTGCTCGGTGAGTACTAACTGGGGAGTGTACGAATACAGTGAAACCTCTCCTAACGGACACCTCTATTAGACGGACATCTCCCTTGGGCGGACATTTTTTCCTATACCATGTTTTACGTATAAAATTCGGAACAAATTACTCTCTCTTAAGCGGACACTCTCTTGGCCGTACGCAGACAGTTATTTGGCATAAAATGTACACAAATACCTCTATTGAGCGGA